AACCAGCGTAATATAATAATAATATAGAAAGATTATCCTTTTAACCGTGACAAAGATATCATCCTAATAGAGAAGTAAATAATGATCTTTAGGTATGTTTTAAAGTTAAAATAAAATCATCCTAACACAACAACGCTATCGTGCAATATCAGTAATAATGACATATTTACTATGCTATAATCCGGCCAAACGCTAATTGATATGGTATTCAGTCTCATGCGCCTCGGGGCAAGCGGTGATCGTTTAGAAGAAGCTCCTATATTATTGTAATGACTGATTACTGCAATTTGATTTAGATTTTTCTATTATCAAATACTGAAGTATACGAAATAGAACACCTATGAATTACAATGACAGCTTGTCCATCTAGTCTGTGTGTTGTTGATAAACACAATAGAATTACTGTCTACCTATACTATTTTTCAAAAAATAAAAGCAAAATACACACACGCACGCCCTATAATCACCTATGAAGTATGCCTAACTCGAACGCGCGTTAGCTAAGATGGGTTTTAAATGTGTTTATTTCTAAAAGAGCGAGGTTTAGATACTGTAATTACTATGTGTTTTGACAAAATAGTTATCGCAGGTTGTTGATTTTTCTGTTACGCAAATTACTGCCGCAAATTATAATTTCGTCATTCAAAGACACGTTAATTTCCCTTGTACGAGCAACACCCTCTCTAACGCAAACTGCTCAAAAGTGTTCTTAATTTTCTCATTAAGAAGACGCAAACGATTCGTTGTTTTGTGTGTTTTTCTATCATTACCATTATTTCTTCCCAAAACACCTGCTTCATCGGATTCAAATGCCCCAAAAACCCGATAAAAAGGCATTTTATCTTTACTTCAATTTCTACCCAGAAACTTGATCTATTAGAGTAGAGCTATTTATCTGATCAAGGACTTTCCTTCCATCAAGATTTCTGGCTCTAAGAATTTCGCTTCACGATTTCTGTAAGTAGATTTAGAATTCATTCAAATGTTACTTTTTCTAGCTCTAAATTTTACGGAAATTTTGTTTCATTTTTTGTATTTACCTATCTACATTTCTTTTCCATAGCACACTCTTACCATTTTTTCGCGCGTTTTGTGATAACATCGAGCAAAATGCGAAAATTCATCATTTTCATCATCTAAAAAATGTTGGCAAAAAAAACTTTATATGGGATACTATACGCTGTCATGTTTATTAACATTAGAATAAAGTCACGCCGTATTCTTTTAGTATTAGACCCTAGAAAGCTTATTCAAAGGAAGAGTAAAACGAGCTAGTCGCACGCGCATTGATTTGTGAGATTTTTTTTACTTTCTCGTAATGTTCTTTCATGCCAGAAACACGTATGACAACTCGTTAAGTTTTTTTTTTTTTTTTTTTTTTTTTTTTTTTTTTTTTTTTTTTTTTTTTTTTTTTTTTTTTTTTTTTTTTTTTTTTTTTTTTACCTTTTTTAAAGAGAATAGGAAAAAATAATTTTTCTCCTCTCCTCTCCTCTCCTCTCCTCTCCTCTCCTCTCCTCCCCCTCACTATATTTTCACTCTCACGAATTCCCATATTACTGACGTCATCCTACTCTTAAGTACTCACCTAAGTGACGTCTCAATCTTTTAATACATAACTGASCCTTGACTTGCCCAACCAAACTTGTCGACCTTTTAACATACCAAAACTAAAATAACAGCATGAACATTTGAATTTTACTTTAACTAACTTTTGACTATAACTAGTTTAAATGATTATTACACGTAGCCTTTTTTTTTTTCTTTTTTTTCTTTTTTTATGTGATAGATAAACATTCAGTTACAATCCTTTTCTTATGTCGATACAGAATTGTTCCAGAGTTTGTTCCCTGTACCAATATTATCGGATACCACTCTGTCAAGGATTAGTCCTCCACAGTGTTTTTTCCTTTATAACAGACACATACTTGAGAATACTATTACCTAAAACTTACGAGTCTAGATCCGCACTTATTTGTGCCAAGGGCAATTTAGGACCCATGCATTTTTCCTCTGTACATATTTTCTCGGAAATTTTAAAGCATATAAAAAAATTGTTGGTTGACATAACAAAACAAAACGATGAATCTGTAGCTGAATTCAACAAACATGGCTGCCGTTATCACAAGCAGTTCTACAAAACAAATTAAATATAACCGTTGRTTCCGGCCGAGAATAATTCCATTACTTCACAGCCCCTTTAAAAAAATTCCATCCACTCTGAAAATATCGTGCGGTGTGTAAACCAAGAGGTATTGCTTAAGACGAAGTTATTTCGAATTTTTTATTGTTATGGCTTACTTAACTTGTTCATAAAACCACAAAAGCGTGTTAACTTAAAATTGCTGACTTATTATAATCAAAACTCCAGTGCGTAAAAACTTAACACATCTGTGTCGCCGTAGGGATCCRCACGTTTAGGAACGAAACGAGTATGTGAGAAAAGTTGCCGTTACTTGACAATTACGCCGACATATTTCTTATTTTTTCGCCTCTTTTCAACTTTTGGTGAGGCTAATGATATGAATATTGTGTTTGAATTATATTCATAGCTCTATATGATTCGCTTGGAATTCCATCAAGTGGTTTCTTGCGTAAAAGAAAACCTTCACATGCGTTACTTGTCGCGCATTGACGCATTTTTTCTCGCATATTTTAGGGTCATAGCAATAATTCCATGCTTGTTTAAGTTAGAGCTAAAACAAAACCAGCGTTTTGACAAGAATTACGAGTTTTGTTCTCTGTTATATTGTTCAGAAATTAATTGCTTCTCATCAAGAAATAATTTGTATGACTTTCAAGTTTTTCTTTTTTCTACGCGCGTTTTTCCGATGTATCCTTCGGCTTTAGCGGTAAAGCGCACAATTACATTCCCCGCACATGTTCAATCCCTCTTTGATCTTAGTTATGGCTACCTATAACTTCTTTAGCCATGAACACAAAAATTCCTATGCGTATATATGCCTGAAGGCAAATAGATGGATTGTATTGTGAAAAGTCATTCAAGTGCATCGCTCATTTGATTCGTCTAAAGACAARGACAATATTACTTGCGATCACTAAGCGTTATCAATTCTGGTTTTATTAACAACCTGTGTCGTTTAAGAAAACTCTTACAACGTTTTTTAAATCTTAATAACTTTAAAACAATATTGATGAGTTCTAATTTTACACTATAGGGAGTCGAGAGCTCATTTTGGGCTCAACAAGACGTAAAGTACTGGTAGATTGAGCAACAGAACAACTCGAACATCTTGTTATTATTCATCGTCAGTTGAACACAACGACTTGATCTGTGTGGAGGATTACTGTAGTGCAACCATGGACCCAGGAGTTCAGAATTCGTCGAATATCAACCAAACACAGCCTATACAATTGGGTGGGGAACCCGAATATTCAGTCGTCATACGGTTTTTGCTGTTTGGTGCTATCATACTCGTGTCGCTTGTCGGGAATATTGCAGTCATCTTCATAACGTACCGTAACAGACAAATGAGAACGTTCGCTTATTTCCTCATCGCGAACTTGGCCCTTGCAGATGTCCTAGCGACTCTGTGTCTACCTATAATCGTCGCCTATCTTGAAATTGGAAAATGGGTGTTCGGCGAAGTGATGTGCAAGCTGGTCAACCCGAGTATAACTGTGTTTGCAGTTGTGACAAGCAACACGCTCGTAGCAATCGCCTGTGACCGATTCCGTGCTCTGATTTTCCCGTTCAAGCTCAAACCTTCCACGTCGGAGACCAGACTCATCATTGCTCTCATCTGGATGATAGCTTTCCTAGTCACTTTACCCAGCTACGGTTCGAGAACTGTCACTATTGATGGCTATTGTTTAGAGATTTACAGCAGCGATACTGAACAACAAATTCTTTATGTTAAAATCTACACCACGTTCATGTTCCTCGTAAATAACTTTATTCCACTTCTGGTCATTCTTATCCTGTACATCAAGATCAGTATGACTTTGGCACACATTACTTTGTTTCCTTCGCTTCACTTTAACAGACCCTCGTCCCTTGCACAGGACAGCCCTGGTGAAAGCCCAAGAAACTCTGTGTTGCTCCGTAATGCGAACACTGCCTCAGCTACTAAACGGCAGACGATGGAACGAAAGTTCATTCGCATGTTACTCACGGTAGTGCTGATTTTCTTTTTCTGTTATGTACCTTTCCAAGTGTTCTTCTTGATTTGGTCTTATCTTGATCTCACAAAGGTGGTAGACAATAAGGCACTATATTATTGTAATCATTATCTCCATATTCTAATGTGGTTACCCACTGCATTGAACCCGATATGTTATGCAGCCCTCAACGAACGTTACGCCAAGTACTTTAAACGTATACTAAGATGTTCATTCTCTAAACTCAAGCAGTTCGGGACGACAGCAAATCCTAGTGGTTACACCGCTGCATCTCGACGTAAATCCTCGCCTTTATCTGTCTGAGTCGAGTGCATCCGAAATACATCGAATACATAGCGAAATTGACCGCTATAATCTTCGTCCCTGTCCGAAGAAATGGCTCGGGTTTAAATCGGTGTATATTCCAAGTGCATAACAGCAATATCACGAAAGCATCGCGGCTTTGCATTCGTATTTCTAAAAGCGGCAATTGTATATCCGAGGACAGCCCGATGCTTTTACGAAGGAAATCGGCTTATCGGCCATTGGTCGGAGTAATAGAAACCAATAAAACTGATGAACTGTTGGAAGCTACGACTTAATTCCGACTGCTTCACGAACATATTTATGGACTCAAGGCGAACTATGGGCGGACTAAGAATATAATATATATGGTAGGATGAACTTACAGATCTCGTCTTATCCCAAATTGACTGATTTACTTGGGAGAGAAGTCAAGACGTAAATAACTGGTAAAACGCAAATAAACAAGTATGTGTGGTCAGTGGAGACTTCAAGGAGGAAATAAAAAAATCAATGTTTGTACGTCTAGTGTTCCGTGGAAACGAGACACGGAACCACAGTAGGTACGAACCGTAATAGTCCCCTTCACAGTAGTTCCCTGGCCCATTTAGTAAGAGGTAACCGTACCTGTGCATCTAAGCGAGAACGGCGGTGACCTTACAAAAATAAATATCACCGCCGTCCTATCTTTGATGCACGGGCAAGCGATTGCCTACAAAAATGGCGCTCAGAACTGTTAGGGGACTCTTATTAAATCAATAGAAAAGGATAAGTAAAGAAACTAGATTCTCTTGCTTTCGACCTGGGAAACAAGAAAAAAAAACAATCATTAACTGTTGCTGGGATGAAATGTAGGTAGATTCTTATTGAAACGTTTATTTATGCCAAGACAACAGAGTGAAAAACAAGACTTGTGCAAATGTTTTCGTATTTATGTTTTTTGGAAGTTGTTTGAAATGGTGTAGTCGACTCTATACATATCGTTGTTCCTGTACCATCAACTAGTATGTCCAATAGAATAAGTACAATATGTTAGCGTCTGTTCCGAAAGTCAAGCAAATAGCTTATGATTGCAGCCATCGTGGTCGACCAATAGCATTCGGGGTAAGTATTCACGTGATTATTTCCCGCCATAATGGTGGTTGGTCATTTTCACGCCCAATAAACTTTACCCACATCGATTCTACCACCTAGTTGGTTTACCATTTAGAACGATTTCCATCATAGTTTATGATATGACCAGTGTTCAAAGAAGACACACGTCGAAATCCCGAATGGAGGACATAACAATAGGTTTCCAATTCTCAGGAAATTGAAATTATTTTGTTTTGTCCTCCAAATTGAACTGCTTTGACGTCACATGCATGGGGTCTATTCAGGGCAAGAGATAACGAAGCCTGTTTTTCCACCAATATAGCATTCTGCCCCGGTTAACTTTACATGATGGTGATTATTTAACAGCGACGGCAGAAATACTTTGCTTAGTGAGCCACGGGATTGCTTGTGGTCGCAGGTTTATTGAATACCGTCTTCTTTAGCACTGTCATATGGTACACACTTGCATTACAAGCAAAAGCATAAGCAACAGGTGCAGACTCGAAGATGTCCTTCGCACGTCTATGGGACACGACTATAGCGGTGCGCACTTGCTTATGCTTATACTTGTGCAATCAAGCTTATGTAGACAAGTTTCTATACATCGTTTCATCGGTCCAACGCAAAGCATCCAATCGAGGCTGCGAGAGTAAGAAACTGAAGTCAAACTTGTACCCTACAGCCTCAACCTCATGTTTTGTGTTTGACCATTGAATCGATCAATTAGCGGATTAGAATACGCGAGTGAAAAGCGTCTCCGCATGTGCTTGTAACTTAAGGCTAATTCTTTTATATGGTCTTTATAATACAGTATCTTGATCTTATAAAAGTAATTTTTCTCATCAGATATTCGGAGAAAAGAAACGTTTGTTTTCTCACTAAAACACTCTAGTATAGACCTAATTAGCTTCGTATGCAAATTGCCCATTCCAGATCACATGACATTCCCTTGAGAATTGTTCTTTTATGACGAACATGTTAAAATATCTACACGTGAAAGAATCAACTCCCAAGAGTGGCATCACATGGTCTGAAATGTGCACAACAAACAATGAAGCTAGATTGCTAAAATGAACGCATGCGCAGACTTATTAAACTCGTGTCAAGATGCGAATTTTCGAAGAAAAGAAATTGAAATTCCAGTTATTTACCATCTGTATTTATTTATTTCTATGATTGAACAGTCGCAAATGGACTGAGAGTGATTGAATTCAATGAATTAAAAACGTGTGAAGATCTCAAATTAATACCAATAAATTAAGAAACCAATAAACCTGTGTTTCCTTCGTTTGTGGGAGTCCCATTCTCTTAGTATATCCTTTCATTACTTACACACTTTATATCATATTATTTCACATATCTCCATGGCTTTTTTATATCCCCCGGTAACTCGATATCTTACCAGCAAACGTTTAGCAGTGAAGTTGTATAATCGCCTTATTTTCCCCTGGAATTTCAGTACTAATAGTCTTAACAATAACACGCCTTGGTAAAGTACAATTTAGGAATTACGTCTCAATTACTAAGGAAATTCATTTATTAGAATTAAAGGAATTGAAAAAATGTTYGTACAAAATACAAGGTATTCTGGCAGAGTAACTTGAACGAGTGATAACTAAAGGTGCGAAAGAGACTGCTCAAGAATTCGAAAGACGACAGCAGACTACCTGCTTTGTTGAGTCATCCTTCTACAACCCGTATAACGTCCAGACGTCTGCATCTTTTTTGATTATTAATAAAAATAACGATAATAATTCGTATTACTTGTATTACTCGAATTCCATGGAAATAACAAGATGCGCAAATATGCTTCAAAAATACTACTCAGAACGTTCGGTTGTGAAAGGGATAGTTGCCAGCCTAAACACAAGAGATTTGGTTTAGATTATTTCTGCCGTTCGAGACAAATGAAAACTGGCGTTGTTTCTTCCTTTCAAAGAGTAACGTCAATTACTTTCGGGTTCAAAACGAAAAAGTATTTCGGAAATAAGTTACAACTTAAAAGCTTTATTTCGATAGATACTTTGTCAAGCTCCGGTGCTTAGTTTCCGATATGCTTTTCCAAGTCAGTGTAGATTAGGTTTCAATCCAAACGCCTAAGAAATTCCGCCCTTTTTGTGTTTCATAAAATCCTTTGAAGTGCTAGTCTTACGAAAATAATATTAACACAAAAAAAATCCCCGATTTTCTTTATGCTTGAACAGGTTATAATGTTCACTAATAAACAATAATTCAGGGGTTCGAAAAAGAAACTTTTCCCGTCTGAATTTTACTTTCGAAAAAATTGTCAAACGCCTGTCCGCCATTGCTATGAGAAGCGATTTTGTCGTTGCATTTTAATTTATGTGTGACATACTACACTGACTCTACAAAATTCTCTGTAAGAAGGGAAGCCTTGGTTTAAAGGTGGTGTTACACGGGCCAACTTGCTGTGGTTCTCACGCTGTGGTACTCACGCTGTGGTTGATGGGAAGGATTTAGTGAGTTCCCGGTGCATCAGGGGAAGGACGGAAGAAAAAAGCTCTCCTTCCCAAAATCCACCGCGCGCAAAAAAGCCTGAAACAAATGACGACTGGGTACGAGTCTGGATAAGTTTAACCAAGCTTCAAGACATTTCCAATAAAATTTCATAGCTGTCATTTGTGCGCATCTTTTTAAGCACCTCAACGCATTCCTGGCGCACCTCGTCGAGCTAATCCAATATGGCCGCGGATGAAAGATAATATCGATTCCAATCTAAAAAGAACTAACTTTCGCTGCTCGAAGATTAATCTATTTGATGCATTTAGTCTACACGGTGAACGTTTCAAGAAAGGTATTTGGAAAGTCAGTTGTTTTAGACACCTAACAATCGGCAGAAGTTGGCAGACATCCTGGTTCCAGCGACCCTCGAGATACCTATAACCTTGGCTAGTATGATAAGTAGTTATGACTTCATCGATAATAAGTACTAGTGTCTAATTAATAATAGGTCTAATAAGTGGGTAGGGGGCTCGACGGACGCTTTTGAAAATGACCCTAAAAGGTACGCATAAATTAACAGAGATGCTGATTTTAGACCCTAAAAGGTACGACCACATTTAAAATGACAACGTTTCCAACCATTATATTCTTGTATGACGTTCGATATTTTTCAAAACGAACAAATCTGACCCTAAAAGGTACGGAGTCAACTGGGAGTCAGCCGGAGACCCTAAAAGGTACGCGAGGTCTCATTTTTGACCCTAAAAGGTCCGTCGAGCCCCCCTACCCACTTTTCAATAGAAAAGAAGATGTCAGCCAAAAGACTTGCACTATGAATAGGCTGCTGTAGAAGTATGCTGGCTGACAGCCGCTGCTAGAAAAGTAGCTCCTATTTAAGTGATGCAAACCATTTTTAAGAAGATTTAAATGATATCAAATTTTCAAGAGGCTTTCGTTTCTAATGAATCACTGTCGCCATATTTTCTTCCACTCTTATCAATCGTACATTACAAGCTAAAGAATCATTCAATATTCTTCACATTTCGGAAATAAAGCACAAAATATGACAGATCTTATCATATTTTCTGCCAACTTTGCTCTTACTCAAGGCAATCATGATAAACACCAAGCTAATATGACAACCAATTGAGTTATTATTCTTCAGTACGTCACTCATTGTACTTTTTCCATTCGAAGCCTTTTTCCACCATTATCTGTTTTGTCTGTAATCTTATTTCACTCAATCGTGTTTTCAGTTCCGTAATTGGAGTTTATTTATTAACGCCATTAGTTCAGTATCGGGTAACACAATCAGTTCAATCTTTCAAAAACAACTTACCGGGCGTTCTTCGGCTCTATTTTTTGGACTTCTTTGGTAAAAGAAAAACTCGCCTAAGTAATTAAGCAGAAAAACTTCCTTCCTATATTCGCCCTATTTGCTTGCAACACTTCCCAGATGATAATTGGATTTAACTGTGTCTTACGCGCAAAAATTCACCATCAATCGAAACGACTGTCCCCTTCACATACAATAAAGAAAGCGCTGATGCAATTTTCTTTCGTCTACCAACGATCATCTTACATTCTAATCTAGTTTTGGAACACACACAGGTGTTGTTCGTTATACCTCATGTGTATGGCGTTATTTTTGTCACGAACACAAGACTGTCTTTTTACTCTATATTGTACAGTTGTATAATTATAGTTAATAATAGTTATTGATTGTTTTATTATTCTCAGCCATCATCTCTCATCGCCCSCTTATTCTGAAAGCATTTTAGCAGTTTCGTTATAAGAATCCGTTCCATACTTTAGACGAGCATTCAGTAATACTCTTTACGATGCCCTGGAGATACGCAAGAGTTCCTATCGATATCTTGAGTCTTTCCTTTATCTGCAAGAGGGGAAGGGGCGGACCAAAACGTTTCTTATATTCCAGGAGATAGGCACTAAAATTTTAAAACAAGTACCATTTTTGCAATCCTTTCAGTCCACACAAACACCTGATTTCTTTTCTTCT